GTCAAAGGGAGACTCAGATCTCGTTTTTATGGAAAGCTGTATATATGCTTGATTTTCACAGGTGATGTGGCGGGGGCATATTTGTTTTTTACACTTTATGCACAGATATTCACGTGCGGTCATTCCCAAGCTTTTTATCAGGCTTTGGAACATGTGTGTGACCACAACTTGAAGTGCCTGGTATCCACTCTCACTTAAAATGAGACAGTGGTATTTTCGGTAGGCTTTATAGAGAGATGACGAAGCGATTCACGGCTCTTTGAAACAATCTTATTTCGGCTGAAATGATCTTCTTTGTCAGCTCAGGCCCTCATAATTTGCTTCAATATATCAATTTTCCTCTTGATTACTTGAGTTTAGTTCATTATGTCTCATCTCACCCACCCAGTTAGGTGTTTCGCTAGTTTCCGGAATTTTCTGCCGCCTTCCGGTATGCAATCCATATTGTTTGTGCAATCATGCCTGTCCATAATTTCTACACAGTATATGTTATCTGGTCTGGTGATGACTGTTTTGTATTATCTTAGTCTCTTAACAGCCTGTCGATGCTTTATGATGGGTGTGCTGTGGAGCAAGTACATTTTCGTCCGTCTATACTGATGGCAGTGGCCCAGCGGAGTTGATCTCAATTGTTCAAGGTACCCACCAGAGGAGCCAACCAGGTCCCCTGTCTGAATGCACAGGTTCTCAAGCTGTATGTCGATGTCCATTTGACTGACGTCCATATGGGAATAAAACATTTGGTCGGAGAGATAGTTCTTCATGTTTATTCCTATTTATTGAGAATTCCGCCAGAGTAGTTACAGGTCAACCCTTCAGTATTCGCTCAGTATTTAGTATTTACTTTGGGGAGGCCCAGTTCTCCGAGCCTCTGATCGGTTGTACCAGCATTTTTGAGGGGTTCGATTTAACGAATTCACCAACGTATTCCATAAATTGTAGTCAAATATCTTCTGAAGAGTCGAGAAGTGCATAATTGCTTTGTGACATGTTTGTTCCCAGTCGTGTGATGTTAGAGTGGATTGATTCTATTTGATAAGGAGCATAACATTTTCCAAGTCATTTCATCATATGACATTCTGCTTCTACGTAGGGATTTCCAGTGAATATTGGGATATGAATTATTCTGGATACAATTGTCTATAAATTCGCCACATATTCTTTATTCAGGGAGTCACACGATGAGCTTTCGGAATTCATTGAACACATTGTCCTCAACAGGACGATCAGGGGGATTATAAGACTCAACAGTGCAAAATATTCTCATATCATGAATTGAAAGTCTATCTTTTAACGATAAGGATTATACTTAACAATTATAATCACATTAGAAGAATTTACTGGGAAGAATGTTCTTCCCTCAGATCGAACTACGCAAACATCTACTGACCTTAGCTACACAACTAAGAGGCGAGCACAAAGAAATCAAATTGGTTTACTTCAGCTCGTAAGAAATGATATTGGCAATTGAATTCGAAATAGCGGTAAGACACTTCTGGGCAGCCTGTAGACGGACGTAGGTCATTTGATCAGCTGATGGATATTGGCGTTATTTATTGAAAAAATGTCAAGGTTAGGTCATTTTTCGTTGTTTTTCACACTTTTTTACCTATATTCCTGCTAAAAGTTGATGAAATGCGGCCTATTTAGCAGAAAGAGCATATGGTGGTGTTCTTATCCGGACGTAGGTCACAGGCAGTTTACAGTTTGTCGAAAATAACGTACTTTTCCGTTCAGAAAATGTCTACTTACTTGAAGACACATGTTATAACGACTTTTTGTGAATTTATTTTGCAGTTTAATGGATTACACATGGACATGATGAGGTGGGATAGCTCGTTTTGGTAATTATTTCACTTACTTTGTTGTGTACTTTGGCTAAATGCTGACAGAGCTCCTCCACATGTATTCCTTTAAGAAAAATCTGCAAAAATACATAAAAATTATATATGCATAGTATTTCCTTATTTGATGGCATAAAGTTGATGTTAGCAGGCAGATGGAATCTCAACTTTGCATTATTGAAAAATGTTGACTAACATAATTATATACAGTTCAAATCATTATTTTGTCATTTTAAGCATATTTAATGGTTAATTATTGTGTTTAAACTGGTAACAATATCTACATCTGTATAATTCTTATCTTCTTTTTCAGATAATATCTACTTTCGGGAATTTCATGGATTTCGGTGATAAAGAAAAAGATGCCTGCACTGTTGTCGATTTTGTATTACATGTTAATTCATTAATAAATGTATCCCTTGTTATTCGTTTGTTTATTCTACTTGATAAGACCGAATATTAGCCCTTGCGTAATTTGTGAGGTATAGAGTATATGAGGCTATCTTTGAAATACTAAGTAGGAGCAGATATTCGGAGAAGCTTATTGGTAAAACATTATGTTGTAGTCAAATAAAGTGAATATGTCTAAGTCGTAGAGGAGGTATTGCGATTATAAAGCGTTTCGAGTTATCTGTCGTCTTAGCAGAATACATATACTGATTCGCGATTCATAGTCACAAAGTGAGAGTAAATCTACCTGAGATAGTTCGCTTGTGATTTCTGCATGCCGCACTGTACCATAAGGAGAGACTATACCTATGCTGTTAGATGTATGACTCAGTGCAACTACGGTTATCGTAATAATTAAAAACAGAATGCCTAGGGTCCTCAGCCAAAGAACACGATACGTTGCTATCTGCTCATATAATCACGTAAACAAAGGTTTTCCAGACGCCGCATTTACTCCTAACAGTTTACCCTCAACTTCTAACTTAGCACGTGCTACTTATGTTACTGGAACACAATCGCATTACAACAGAAGGAAGACAGATTCATTGAAAATTGTTTATTAAACAAAAATCAGATTTCAAATGTACAGATAATTCAGATGAGTAGTCCTCTGTTACCGTTAGTAAGTTCCATCTGCGTACACGGCACATATATGTTTTTACATAAGTCTGAAAAGGTTTAAGAAAAGCATAATTAACTTGGGTATTACATGTATGATCTGAATAAAAAATTTTCCTGATAAGCATTTACAAATAATCACTTTACAAGCAATATATGTATAAGTAGCCCAATAGTTTTCACTAAACTTAAGGGACTTCGCAACTTATCGTTTGTCAATATCTAGTAGGTCCATCGAAGCATCATGAAATGATAAAATTATTTAACGACAAAATATGCAGTAGTTTCCAAAGCTTGTACAAATATTTTAGCAAAAATGACAATTTTATGACAAATAATAGGTCTTGACAGCAATAATAATAACATTCATGTTCGTAGTGACTATAAAAAAAATAATGGGTATTATTATCGCAACGAATTCAACATTAACTTAGATAGACAACTAACAATAATACAATCATATCAAATAAATGTATCACTTAATCTTAAGAAGCATGTGTTTACTTACTTTCACTGTATTCTCTCAATACTGATGTGCTCAACAAGCTTATTCCAACTGAATTTAAGATTAATTCTAAAAGTGAGTGGAGATCCAGTTCACGTCAAATAAAAACATGTAACTTACATGTATTACACTGCTTACTGAGACATCTGGTACCTGCTTTCCGATCTTCGTGACAAGAACACAGTTCATCTAGGTTTACCTACATATACAAAAGTATACATACATGCTGCATCAACCATGCCATTTTTATCATGATTAGCCAGACTACTGTGTATATTATACTTATTTAAGGATCTCTGAAAATAATGGTCAAGAGATAATTGAAGTTGCGTGAAGTTATTACCTCTTCAGGACATTGTTTGCATTCTTGATACTCCTGAGAAGTCCTTAGATAGTAATTTGGCATGAATTCGTTGAATTCAGCAAATAAATCCACTGCTACATCATTTCTTTCCTGAGCTGTAATCATTTGTGTTGTCAGTTATCTCTCCAATTTGATAAAACGCTCACGGAAATTCAGGACTTAACCAAGCAGCAAAATGATGTTTGAAATTACCTCAACTCGAATGACAAACTGGCCAATCACAAGAGAGCGAATCGCTTGTTTATCTCATTCGCGGTCAGTCAAAATTACGTCCGTCGACAGGCGCGCGGTTAATTCAAGATGAACGGAAATCGGTCGCAATTTCGTGAGTGTGAAGGTTCCTCTAATTCGATGCCACCGAGTGAGTCTGATCCCCGAGCTCCTTTCTTTTATCATTTTGTTAAATATAAACCTGAGGAAACTAAGATTAATGAGTCTGAAGTTTACATTGAGAATTCACTAGCCCTCAGGTCAAGACTGGAAAACTGCATCCAGGCCGCCAGTCCGTGTCTAAAAGGAGATTCACACATTCTAGAAAGTGTTCAAAGGAAGGCAACACGTATGGTTCACGGCATAGCTAACTTATCATACGAGGAAAGACTAGATAGTTTAAATCTCTTCTCACTGTCATACCGCAGGCAGAGAGGAGATTTAATCACAATGTTTAAAATTTTAAATAATGACTACGGACCTGACCTATTCTCTCTTTTCCTTACCACCAGGTCGGAACACCTTAGAGGACATGGCAGGAAAGTTCAAAAGCCAAGGAGAAATCATATTGCTGTTGAGTACTGGTTCTCACATCGAGTCATAAACTCTTGGAACCGACTCCCAGAAGAAGTGGTGTCAGCAACCTCAACTGATTCGTTCAAGAAGGGTTTGGACAACCACAGAAATCTACTAGAAAAGGATTAACATAGGCTGCAAGCCTTCTATCCTCAACCAATAAATCTAAATCTGAATCTGAAATCGAGCGGAAAGTTGCCCCACATTTCAACCCACATATTCCAGGTCTGGAAAATTCTCTCACTGAGTCGTTGTGTCAGTGAGTTATAGTCTTCAAGCTTTAGACTTTGAAAGGACGCCAGGATTTTTTTTTACCTAGGTAGATAGTATTTTGTACTCTAGGCACTTCTGAACACTGCATATGACGACTGGAGACAAGAGAAAATTAACGAAGAAAGGCTTCCGCGAATTTCAATTAACTAAACAGCTCTGAATGCAACATAGCATTACTTCATTCCTTTCGAGTGGTTAGTTTCCCTATAAATAGACAAGTAAAAACGAACATATATGTATATGTATTTATATGAACACTGTGTATATGTTTTCGTATGTTATCTTTATACGAACAGCTTGATATGCGATATGGGCAGTAAAGTTTGCTCGTTATGTCATCGACTTACATTAGATTAACTTATCTAATGTGTAGTCATATTCTACTACAGTGCTCAAGTCCCACTGTTACATTTGGCGCTGTGTGTGCATGTATGCATGTGTAGGAGAAATAATGCAGCAGCTATGGAAAGCAAGATAACACTTAGATGTTATTGGAACGACTTCGGTTACTGATACTGATACTGACATGTATTCCTCCTAGTCCAGTTGTGAATTTCTGTAGACACACTTGCGACAACAGAGAAAACATTCATCGATCAACGAGAGTGATATTAACGTATGGACTGTGACTAGTCCCAGTTGTTGCATAAAATAGGAAGACGGAGATGTAATACCACTGTGAATTACCCATGGATAATGGCATAGTAAAATCACTGAGGCTAAATTCTTCTACTAAACTGTGAGTAGTTAGTCTTCAAAAGAGTTTGGAATTTTAAATATTCTCTCTAATGGTGGGTTTCTACAAACAGTGGGGTCATCTCATCCTGCATTTGATCGCTTATTCTGTTTTTGCTCCTTTAATTTTTGCGTGTTTGTTTTCGACTGTAGATGAACCTTTGGTTTACGCGAAGTGGCGATTTGAAGAAAATTATTATGCAGGAAAAATTGAATCCGTAGAAAATCACTCATGGTAAGCATTTGAAATTAGTATGGCACCAATTGAAATGACTAATGTCCATTTCCTTAATGGGGGTTTATTCATCAGATGCTTTTCTTCCGTTCTGTATAGTCAATGCAAACTTTTAAAAATTAACTAAGGCGTTATACTTGATATTATCAGTGTCTACATGGAAGTATGTGCACAAGTCGATACTTACTGTTATTCTCAAGTAGCGTGTATGTATGTCTGTATAATGGTTAATTGACACGATTGAATCGTTGGACAAGACTGGCTTGCTAGCCAGATCGAAGTGAGATCTAAACACAGGACGACAGTCACTTCGATTGATGTGAATGGTACCTAACTGTCAAGAAACTTGATACGATTATGAGCAATAGTTTGTGCTCGAAACGTCATCAGTTAATATTAGTGTATAACACTGTGTGACAGTATATCAAAATAAAATCTTATCCATAATGGAGTTATACTCTACCACAGCGCCCAAGTTTTATACTTATATCAATTCCCGAGATATCCCAGTCAAACGGTAGACACCTCTTTACATGACCCAAGGTAACAGTCAGACTCCATGATTTGGTGCCATGTTTCCTCCCAATCAACTATGACCTAACCTATCTTCAGCCCTCCCAACGTTACACAACTCACTAGCTGGGTGCAGCTTTACAACTCCAATCCCTGACATCATTATTATTTTTACCCCAATATTCTAACTAATACGAAGTTGGAAGTAAGTAACGTTGGTGAGAATTTCGTAGTGTCGAAAATGTTGTTGGGAACAATTAATTATGATTAACCAATGCTGATGCTTCACCTTCAGTGGGCGTCTGTTTTACAAATGTAAAGTAGGAGAGAATGAATTTCAATACGATAAACGACTTTTCACATACAAGCAGATATATCACACCTGGGCTGGCCAGAATTGACTCAATTTGACGCGTAAACGGTGCTGCCACTAGTCTATACTGCGGCTTACGGAACTCTTTTTAATAAACAAACTGATGAACACATTCAGCCACTGAGCCTTAACTAGGAATTAATCCAGATAAGTCCTACATCGGCGAACTGTATACTAAAAATACCAAGGTTTCTGATCAAAAAGTTCTGAAGACAGCATTTTGTGAGTGTATTCACCATTTGCATACGGGAAGATTTGAACCTGTCTGTCTGCTTTTGACGTAGAACTTTGCACCGATGTGGAGCAGTTCAAGTTGCCACACCATGTAGCACACAAAGCAAGAGAAGAAAGTAGAAGAAATGCATAATAGAGACAGTAAACAGAGGTGTGAGACAGTGTGTGAGGAGTAGTAATAACGAAGAACAGTATAGTTTAATTAATTATTATTTTTTTGCTTTATTCCAAAACAGTACTTATGATACAGAATGGAATTCTCAGCATTTTACTACAGTATTGCATCCAGTTAGTACATTATCAATAAATAAAATTCTATATAGATTAAGGAAATCTCAGTTCATTATGACAACAACATATTGGCATGTCGGTAGCAAAACCAAAAATTGAACAGAGTGTTTGGAGGTGTTAGAAAAGTAGGTGATAGCATATTTACTGGCGTAAGCAGAAGAAAAAAACAAAGGAGCACGTAACAGAGAAAGAAAAGGAGACGAAAGAAAGAAAACGTTGTACCTATAAAAGATATGAATTGGAAAGACGAGATCCAGTTGTTCTACTGATAATTTAATAAGTTATAGGTATCACGCCCTAATGCTTTCTTTATCACACAGAACACGAGCTAAGTAGGGCATGGTTGAGTTTTTGTACTTGCTAGTGCGAGCATATAGTTGTCTATATAAGCAGGCTTCTGGTTTTGCCTGATGAGAGTTGTGAATGAAGAAGGTGGTGCGAGTTAGATAAAATGGATTTTGCCCATTTTTCACATGAGTCCATGTGCCTGTCAACCAGAATATTAACAAGCTGGTTAAGTGGCACGTTGCTTACCCTGCTGACAACCTTCAACATCCTGCGTAATAAGATATAGTCTTTCTTCAGTAGCCCAGGGAAAACTAAGGAGGAACAATAGAGAATAATAGGCAGGATGCAAGAGCTAACGAATTGTAGTAGTAAGGGTTGGGTTATTCCAGAATGTCTTAACTTCTTGATGTAGAGGGTAAGACGGAATATTTTCTTAGAAATCATCAAGATATGAGACGACCAGGAAAGATCAGAAGATAGAGTGACGCCTAGGTATTTAATTTCCGACTTGGTTTCAATTTCAGTGCAATCTATGTTGCACACCTCATGAGTGCTAACCAGCTTGTTTAGGTCAGATTTATGCCTTAAGGTGAAATTGACTGTTTGACATTTAGAGGGATTTAAGGTAAGACCGTTTTCCTTGGACCATTGGCTGATTTCTGGTAAAAAGCCGTTTAGTTTAGTGCAGTCACTTTGACATTTGACAGGCAAAGGTACAGTCAGGTCGTCAGCATATTTGACAAAATTAATGTCATTTGAAGATGGTAGGTTATGTAGAGAGAAAGAAAAGAGAAGTGGGGAGAGTACAGTCCCTTGGGGGACACCAGGTTTAGTGAGCACAGCAGAGGAGGATTTACCTTCGTATACGGTATACTGCATTCTGTTAGAGAAGTAGGAATGCAACCAGTTAGTGACCCAGGACTCAGTTTGTGCCATGGAGAGCTTATTTAGCTAGAGACATGTAGGTACAGAGTCGAAAGCAGAAGTGAAGTCAAGAAACGTGCAGCGGACATATTTGGCACCTTTATCTAATGATGAGACGATACTGTTGTGTAAGACGGCTGCAGCGTCTAAAGTGCTCCTACCCTGTCTGTAGGCAAATTGTTTGGGGTCTTCAAAGCATTTAAGGGAGGGTTCGAGTTTAAGAAGTACTAGTTTTTTCATAAGCTTTAGAAACAGGGAAGTAATGGCAATGGGTCTGAACTTTACGTTCTTGCTATTTCCAGGTTTAGGGACAGGGACTATTTTAATGTCTTTCCACGGAACAGGTACAACGTTTTTGGAGAAAGAAGCATTTAGGATGTTAGTTAGAGGAGAACATAAAGCATCTGCACATTGTTTTAGAACATATGCAGGTATGCCATCAGGGCCACGGTAACATGAGGGCTTAAGAGTTTTAAGACATTTTAAAACATTAAGAGTGTTAAAGTCCTGGAAGTTATCAGTTACATGATTAGTAACGTTAGAAGTAGTTATAGTAGAAGTAGAGCGCATAAAAAACTGATTAAGAGCATCAACATCATAAGGGGGGAAAATGGTTTCATTGGAAACCATAAGTCACAACGAGTGGATGCATCTGCACTAGCCAGCTATTGAGAACGATATTCAGCCATATCACCAGTTGTTTTCAGTCATTGGTTTTTCCCGTCCCGAGGGCTCCAACCAGTCAGGAAGTCGACACCTTTCTACGTGGCTGGCTGCCTTAAACTAACTGTTGTGGATTTCATTGACTGATGAAGCCATGTTTTGGTTTGACCGCCGCTAGCTCTTTTCCACTCTGACCCTATGTCAGCTAGCATTGGCTGTCGGTCGATGAAGGCGATGACTAGGCATACGTAACACATGTCCTAACCACCTCTCTCAGTAGATGTAATTTCACAGCCTCGTCGATTGATTTCCCCTCCTCCTTACCTAGCACTCGACCGACGCCTAACCTCAATATTGCTCACCTTGTTTTACCACTTCATACGGGAGATAGAACGCAGGCACCTATGATCGAAGACAGCTAATCTTTTCATGTTTTCCACTCTCACTGGCCAGGTGTCACAGCCAGGCATAAAGGAGAACGGAGTAGACTTCTGAGATTTAAACCTAGTGAAAAAGCAATACCTTAATTAGTTCATCTATAATAAAAGTAGGTTAACGCGTTGACAATGGCCATCTCTGATTTACATAATTAACTGGTTTTCTTCACTTCAGATGACCAATCCTCATAAGCATAAGCGCAAATGGAGTATCCTAATTAATTAATGCACCGTCACTTAGTGAGACTCAGTACAACGCAATACACTTTATAATAATGAATGATAATCAAAAACACTTAGGATGATTTAAATCCGTATTTATATTTCGTCTCTTTCTTGTGAAGAATAAAAAAAAACACGTCTTTGGAAGGGAATTTCATACCTGTAAGGTTTGAAGACACAAAACCACCATTTTAAGAGGGGAAATGCACACACAAAGCACACTGATCAGATATTCTGTTTGATATATCGTGCACACAAGAAGTGACAGAGGATGAAAAACAACTAAAAGTTCACTACGAGCGTCGTTCTTTTTTTCTTTTTTCCGCTTTTTACGGAAAACACTGTAAAACACCACTGTGTGATAGTTTATCAAAATAAAGTCGTATCCATAATGGTACCCAAAGAAGACTCATGTTGATTTGTCAGTAGCATGATACTACCATATACTACAGTCTATTTGTCCAGCTCTTTTGTCAATACTCTTCATTTAATTGGTTGGTGCAAATCACTGAATGAATACAATTTCTGTTGTAAATGAAAGTAGGCGAGAAGCACAAACAGTTTGTGCATAATTTACTATTCTTAATGAAGTTATCTATAAACATGAGATTGACTTATATATATATAGCACAACTTGACTATTCATCATAGTATTGATGATGTGTTAAGAAGAAAAATAATACCAATTTATCGTAGACTTGGATTGTAGATTAGTAGTTAGTAGGAGGATAGAATAGAGTAAAATTTGGGCACTGCGGTAGGGGTATAATTCCATGATAGATAGAGTAAATTAATTTGATAAAAGAAAGCCCCCTGTGATACGCTATTATTATTTATTTACTGATGGCGTTTCGGGCACAGTCTACTGTTCATAATCCTGTGATGGTACTCAAACGAGAGTAAGTACTTATGGGTGGGTGGATAGAGCTTTGAAAATTCTTGGATTCAAACTAGGTGGCGGTGGTGCTGGTGGTGGTTATACAATCATTGTGGAGTTCTCAATGCCAATGCTACAGCCTTCTAGGATTACTTTTCATCAAAACGACTTGAATTTATGTTATTTCTTTATTCCTGTTTACTTATTCTCCTTAGCTATCTGATTACTTTCGAAGACACGGGAAGAGCAATTGTCAAAGAATCCGATATTATTCAGGTTTATTTGCTACCTGTTGGTGCTATAGTAAGTGGCGTCAAAATATTTTGTGCTTTATTTTGTTTTCATTAATGTGTCCATATTAGATACGCCAAGTGACTTTTCGTATTTCTTTTTAACAGTTAACAGTTACCTCTATGATTATAACTGCAATTTTAATTCCATTATGGGTAGATTTTGTTTTGATCAAGTCTCACGGTGTTATACAGTGTTATATATTTACTGATGAAGTTTCGAGCACAATTTATTGCTGCTCATAATCATATCAAGCTACTCACACGACTTCCTAACTTCATTTATATAGTTCCATTATTTTTCATCGCTTCATTTGGTGATTTGTAGTAGTGGTATTTTCCATATTTCGGGTATGAGTGATGAATCATTCCTATTGCATGTGTTTGGTGTAGACTGGATGAACAAGGGTTCAGTAATCAACCACACACACACACACTCTCTCTCTCCACTTACCTAGATTACTTTTTAGAATTTCAATCCTCTCCCGCCACGCCATTGTGTGGTTGTGTGTTAATACATGCAGTGAAATGTAGTGTTGAGCTTTTTTTAAATGACTTATCTTCTCGGGTAGGGTCAACCATTTTTATCGTAGCTAAATTCTCATGTTCCGATAATCTGACTACTCCCCACCTACTAGTTTGACCTATGTAGTTGACCTAACTCACAGTCATTGCAAGGTATTTTGTAAATTATATTATTTTGTCTAATAGGGTCGATAGGGTCCTTTAACCCACAGGGCTTGTCCTACCTGAGTGAGTTTGTAGGTTTAAATGACATCACTCTAATTCCTGCTTTATTTCGAATCCAGAACAGAGTGGGTGATCAACCTCTTCTCATCAACGGAACTAAGCTCTAGTGAGATAAAAGTCTGTCTGTCTGTTTTAGACGTAGAACTTTGCACAAATGTGCGGAAGTTCAAGTCGCCACATTCCGTGTTGCACGCGAAGCAAGAGAAGAAAGTACAAGAAAAGCATAATAGACACAGTGAGCAGAGGTGTGAGACAAAGGAGTAATAAAGAAATACAAAACAGTTTCATTGAAGATCATAAGTCACAGGGAGTGGATGCATCTGCGCCACTGAGAACGATTTTGAGCCATGTCACCAAGTACTTGAGAAAGGACTAAATTTCAACGTAACAGTTAATAAATTAAAACCAGAGGATGTCATTCCTAACATAGAAGTAACACTAAGCTCAATAGATAAGACGACAGCAGAAGAGGTTCGAGCACAATGTGCATAAACCCTGAAAAATCAAAAGAAAACTAAATCAAACTTAACAAAATCGGAAAGAGAAGCTTTAATTAGTTTAAAACAGGATAAAAATATTGTCATCGCAAAAGCTGACAAAGGAAACGCCACCGTAGTTCTGGATAAATCTGACTATATCAAAAAAGTTACTGAACATATTCAAACGGGTCCATATGAAGAAATCAAGAAGCTTGTAGAGACAATAATGAATAAGGTTAAGAAATCTACATCAGAACTAATACGCAGAATGAAGCCGTCACTGGGTGAGTCAAAATGGTTTAATTTAATGCCTAAAACTAATAATGCTAGTAGAAAAAACCAACGCATTTTGCTAATAGATATTCACACTTTAATTCATCTCATCCGTTAACTGTTAAGGCAGGCTTAGTTAAGTTAAGTGTCTAACAAACCATAAGCCATCTATACATATAAGCCATCTACACTTCTACCATATAAGGACAGGACATCTGAAACCCTCCCTACGTAAGATTCTTAACAGAGCAGAAATTAGAGTGGTGTCATTTAAACCTACAAACTCACTCAGGTAGGACAAGCCCTGTAGGTTAAAGGACCCTGTCGACCCTATTAGACAAAATAATATAATTTATGAGGAAAATTAAAGACAGATTCAGCGAAGAAAATTTTCTTTATCGACGAAATCATCTTCAGAGGCAGTGCAGTCGTGTTTATACTATTGAGTAATAGGGGGTGACATGATTGATATAATTACTCATAATTGGCTTTAGAAGTGAAAATTAAAAGTTGTAAATTACGTGGTACTCAACGGCGGAACACCTTATCAAATTTTTATCTTTGTGCCGTTTAATTTTTGTGAGTATAAACACGACTGCACTGCCTCTGAAGATGATTTCGTCGATAAAGAAAATTTTCTTCGCTGAATCTGTCTTTTATTTTCTTCATGACTCAATGGGTATTTTCGGTGATTTAATATAATTTACAAAATACCTTGCAATGACTGTGAGTTAGGTCAACTACATAGGTCAAACTAGTAGGTGGGGAGTAGTCAGATTATCGGAACATGAGAATTTAGCTACGATAAAAATGGTTGACCCTACCCGAGAAGATAAGTCATTTAAAAAAAGCTCAACACTACATTTCACTGCATGTATTAACACACAACCACACAATGGCGTGGCGGGAGAGGATTGAAATTCTAAAAAGTAATCTAGGTAAGTGGAGAGAGAGTGTGTGTGTGTGTGGTTGATTACTGAACCCTTGTTCATCCAGTCTACACCAAACACATGCAATAGGAATGATTCATCACTCATACCCGAAATATGGAAAATACCACTACTACAAATCACCAAATGAAGCGATGAAAAATAATGGAACTATATAAATGAAGTTAGGAAGTCGTGTGAGTAGCTTGATATGATTATGAGCAGCAATAAATTGTGCTCGAAACTTCATCAGTAAATATATAACACTGTATAACACCGTGAGACTTGATCAACACAAAAGTGTACCCATAATGGAATTACACTGAGATCTGTTTTCGAACGGGCAATATATTGAGATGAAAGTGTTTTTTTGTGCTCTCCGTCCGACAGTGGTGTTACATTTGAGAATTTGACAGGAGCAGCAGTGTAGCGGTCGTTACGAATGACTTGATTTAAGCAGATAAATGATAACAGCGTTATCAAAGTGTCACTGGTGACTGACTGAATTTTCGACTTAGATGTTTGTGCAGAGGGAGTTAGCAGGCCCCTACTTGGCAGTCTGCATCATATTGCATGATTGAAGCTAATAGTTGAAGTCTTCATGGATTGATGCATTGTTTTGATTTGACCATGCCAAACTGTTTTCTAACGTTATCCTATTTCAACTGATGTTGTCGGACTATGAAGGTGACGACTTGGCAGCATGATGATACGCCTATCCATCTCGATCAATATAGCTTCGTCATCAATTGGTTTTTCGCTCCCTTACGTAATCCTCCATGGCGAGCCTCACATAATTGCTAGTTATGTCGCTCCAGCCAACACGACTCAGTGAACGGGGATTCGTGTGATAAAATATCGTTAGCCCCCTTGTTGGCGACCAGTCCTGCAGTGTTCGTTATCTTACATTTATCAGGGCGAATCACATGCCGAATACACTAAGATGCCTGCGCTAGGTGCTTAGAATACTCTTCATAGCATCTATATACTCTACCACAACATTTGCTGTTCCAATGTAGCAACTGATGCATGTGATGAGTTGTCTTGGCGGTTTGGTGGTTAGTAGCTCTTGAGTGGTTGGAATTCCTTTTTTTACCTCCGCTTTGTTAGTCGGGTCGATGACAGCTTTATAGAGTGACTATCACTAGCCCTTTAGATCAGCGTGGCTACTTCGATGATAGTGGTTTGATCAGCGTTTCAGACACGTTTTTCAAGTTGTTAATCGGTGTAGTGGCTGCTTGACAGGCTGTTTTACTGATACTATTCTTCTCACTACCAGCAGGTTGCATTGGTAGTCGGAGGGGGGGTGCTTTTAACTGCTGTCAGGTGAGGTTGCGGTTTCCATTTCACAAACACACATGTGTGGTCTTCACGTAAGCACTGTTTGATTATATGCATAAGAGGCTTATTATACTCGTTATGCATCACCGCCACATAATGGAAAGATGAATATGATGAAGTTGCAGTGAACTCGACTCTGAGGCACGCAGTGTTTGCCAGCACAGCGCGTACTTCTTCCATTTCGTCGTCTACATGGAATCGTCAATGTTTAGTGTTCATTTTATTCTTTGGATAATTTGTATTCATGATTCATACTTCGCCATACAGCTGACTGTGCATTTCACCTAGTTCTAAATCTGCTTGTGTATGCATGTCACGTTGTAGGTAGGTATTTTTCAAGCTTCGTTGCCCTTTTTGGAATTCACAGTTGCAGATTATTGTTGTGAAAGTTTGAGGGAGTCGTGTTTTTACAAGCCTCCAAGTCGCCATACTGACTTTGATATGTTTGATATATAGTCTGATCTGTTTTTGCTGCTTGTACTTGTTTGCTTACGAAGGGGTTATTTTCACATGACAACTTTTCATCTTTCTCTTTTTTTTCCTTTTCACTTCGTACCAGGTTAGTGCTCAAATAAAGGATGATAATGATTATTGGGGTAATTGTATTATCCAGACTCACCTGAGTGATCCTGACTGTCCATATAAGATTTTGCACCATACTACAAATGAATTTTATCGGTGAGATTATTTTGTTTGCTTTCCCGATTGATAAATATCTTTCATGTTACCATTATTTGACGCCAACAGTGTAATATATAATCATTACCTTACCTTGGATCGGATAAAGTACTGCCACTGAGTCGGTGTGTGTGTGTGTGTGGGTGGGTGGGTGTATAGACACTTTTTTTTGGTGCAATGGTCCTTAGGTGGAGTTCAAATTGTGAAGATTTGATTGACTGACTTTTGTAGACATCAATGCACTACTGATTGATTAATATGTGCGTGATATTTTACGATGACATGATATTATTGCATCTGATTGGGCATACTCGACCAATGAGTGTACAGGCGAGGTAAAATATTCTGCCCTGAAGATTCTCGGGCTCTTGTCAAAATGTTAATTTTCACTTCGAAGTGTTGACTGACTGATTGAATGACCGACTGACTGGTTTGAACGTAGAAGTTCGAGTTGTCACACTCCATGTATCACACAAAGCAAGTGAAGAGATTGAGGAGAGATTCAAAAGAGGGAGAGAGAGAGAGATAAGAAACAGAAGTGTGAGGGAAGGAGGATAGTAATATGAAAGGGCAGTAGATTTTTATAGGATATTATGAATCACAAGGAGTAAATGCATCTGCACCATTGGGAACGATTTTAAGTCATATTAGCGATTTTCTCCAGCCACTGGTTTTTACTATCCCGTGGACTCCAACCGGGAAGTATACACCTCCGTACTTGATTGGCTTAAACTAACTGTTGTGGCTAGGGATGCATGCGCAACACATGTCCTAACCTCGTCTATTGATTTCCCCTCCTCACCTAATAATTGATGGCTAGCCTCAATATTGCTAACCCTATTATGCCACTTAACATGGGAGATAGAACACAGACACCTATGATCAAAGACAGCTAGGCAACCTGTTCATGTCTTCCACCTTCAATAGCCATGTCTCACAGCCAGCCATAAAGGAGGACGGAGCGGATTGCGGAGCGAAGTGTTAATTTGTAAAGATTTGATTGATGTCAATTTGGACGAGGGATTGAGATCATTTGGTGGAAAATGGTGAGTGAACAAAAGAAGTTAGAATTCATGGACCAATGGATTCCGTCCTAGTCAGTGACTGAATGGTCTGACCAACGAGCTGGCCTCGGAGCCTGAAGCTTCTGCATGCAGTTGATCCTCGGTGGGGTTGTGGATGCGTACTGCTGAAGAATTGTCGTCTCCCTAGACAGAACTGTCCTGAAGGACATTATGAATTAGAATATGAATGTATTTCTCTCGTGTTTTCCTCAGTTTGTTTTTTATTATACAATTTTGGCATGATTTTTAGCCGATGTAATTGTGAATTATCATTCTGATGTGTATGTTATCATTAAACATTTTCACTAGTTTACGAAGATTTCAAGTGTCCATCAATGAGACAGAGGTGAAAAACTTGAGAGATCGAAAGCTCCTACAGACCAATCATTTTGAACCACGGGATTCACCGCATTGTGATCCTGAAGTCTTAAGAGCTAATGTGAGTTGAATATTTCTCTTATTCTTGAGCATATTTTGTGGAAGTTGTATTTCTCCTATCGCTTAATTGATGCGAAGTGGTTTTATCTCCTTCGGGGAGATGTGACATATTGACTTAAGCACCCGACTTCTAGCCACTAGATGCAGGTTTCGAAGTCCCTCCCCATGTAGATTGGGTTGGTCAACTGTGAACAACAGTGTCATCAGTGTATTTGTTGGCTCATAGATTTTTACAGGGAGAATGTGTTTCGTGTGACTGACTTCACAGGAACAGCTATCTCTCCTGCGTGATAAATTGTGTCAGCATAGTACATGTGTGTTTGTGACTTTTGTTCTGTGTGGACTAGGGTTTCAGCTGAGTGAGGAGGAATAGAGGAGAAGTCTTAGTAAACAAGCACTCGCATATCGATACAGTCAGTCAGTCGTCACTGTCTCAAACGTATTGTAAGAGGACTTGTGATTCTACCTGACTACCCGAATGTTTGTAGATGGAAAGTATCCCAAACCTGTTATCTCCAGCCAATGGTTGTCACTCCGAGTGCGTAGACCGGACGGATAAGCCGGAGAATGACTATATACACTCACCCTGAGGCAAATATCTCGAGGAGCTCCGCTATCCATTTGGTGGTAACATAATGATAAGGTAGATGTGTATCTGGCATGAGGAAATTGGAACTTGTGTTATTATGATTATTACTGTTCTTCTCTGGTGCTGAGAGTGAAACACAGGGCGTCAGCAACATATCCTTACTTTGTTCTGTTTTCTGCTGGGATCTTAAGCTGGTGGACAATCGCGCATGATATGTGCGATCTCCTCCACTTGACCCTCAAACAACCCACTTGTGGCTTCTCATTGGGATTCCACTCGATCAGTGTGGTCTGGCGCGAGATGTGATTCAGCGGTCTCCTCAGCGTGTGTACAGTCCATCTGCATTTTCCTCTGCATATTTGTTGAACGATCGGTTCTTGTTTAGTTTGTTCCCATAGTTTCTTGTAGCTAACTTTTTCTGGCCAGCCATTTGATCTTCAATTTGGATCCAGCGAAGGCAGCTGTTGAGAGAAGTTTGAAGCTGGCTGTTGGAAGTGCTTTTCGTGACGCAGGCGCAGTGCAAGTTTCTCACTCATATAGAAGAAGTGACTGACTTGACATTGGTGTTGAACAGAATCCGAATCTTGTTATTTATGCTCAATGCGGAAAATTTAGATTGATGATGGTGTATCTTGCCTTTCCGAATTTGGCTGGCATTTTTCATCATCTCCATCTTCTCTATGCTCATCTGGAGTTTTGCCTTCGCTGTCAGCTTCTTCTGCGAGTTTTTGTTGGTTTCTGTCAGCCCGTGAGTTTTCGAGTTTTTGTGATATTGAACATAAATCATCCACGTGCGAAATCCAGATCTTCTAGAGTCTTCTTATCGGTCCGGCGTGCTCCTGTCTGCTCACTCCCCATGCACGTTGTGTCGCATAATCCAGTCCACATCAATTAGGAATATCATCGTGGGTGATAATAGGCAGTCTTGTCTTACTCCTACATTCACTTGGAAAGCTTCACTGAGTCTTCTGTTGTCGATCACCTGACACGTGACAGGCATTGTCTCATATAGCTGTTGAATAGGGTTGATAAAGATTTTGGCACTGCACGCCATAGTGCTGAAACAGTGGGTGGATTCTGTGTTGTTCTGCTGCCTTCCCGTCTGGACTTCAGTAGCTTCATTGCATTCAAGCCTTTTCCTCTTTTTTTGGTGGATTGGTGCCCAGTGGCATACAGTTCTGTGAAAACTGTAGGTGATGTTTCCGGGCGAGTTGCAGGTGATGGTGGATTAAGAGTCCTTTGAATTGATCAGCCCATTGTCTTATTCATCTCTTCTCTTTGGTAATTAGATTCTCTTGACCATCTATTATGGCTTTCACTTGTGTCGATCATTACTCAGATAGAGACCTGGTTATCGTCTATAATGTGCTGAGGTCTGTTGTTTTATCTGCAACCGGCTTGTTTTGCTTCAGTTGTCACCAGCCAGTGTGTCGTAGAATTTTCTTTTGTCTTTCCTAGCACTCTTCTTGTTCTTCTTCACTTCTTTATTCAGTGCAGTGTACATAGAACTCAGATTCTCCTTCTGTTGTTCGTATTTGTATTGAGTCATCTTCTCTTTCACCATCCTCCTCTCTCCTATTAGCTTCCAGGTGGTACATAACCTTCAGAGTCTCAATGTCTGTCTGTCTGAATTCAACATAGAACTTGGCACCGAAGTGCAGCAGTTCGAGTTGCCACGTTCCAAATATCACACAAAGGTAGACAAGAAGATGAGTGAAGAGAATCAAAAGAGTTTGACAAGTATAAGAGCGAAACAGAATGGGTAACGGTAGAAAGAAATATGAAAGATTACAGAGACTGAATACATCTGCGCTGGCCATTGACAACGATTTTGAGCCATGTCACCTATTGTCTGCAACCCTTGATTCTTAGAGTCCCGAGGGCCCCAACCTGGAAGTCTGCATCTCCCTACCTGACTCAGTTCAACTGTCAAGGATTTCATGGATTGATGTCATGTTTTTGTTTGACCACCACTTACTTTTTTTCAACTTGCACCTATATCAGCTAGTAATGCCCGCGAGGGAAGGCGATGGTTAGTCATGCGCAGCACGTGACCTAGCCATCTCAATCTATGTAACTTTATAGCCTCGTCGATTGATTTTCCCTCTTTGCCCAACACTCTACGCCTAACGTCAACATTACTTACCTTATTAAACCACCTAACGTGAGACAGAGATCGCAGACATCTATGATCAAAAACAATCAATCTTTTCATGTCTTCAACTCGTATTGGCCATGTTTCAGAGCCATAGAGAAGGACGGAGCGAACTGATGAGCAGTACACACGTCCCTTGGTTGATAGCCAGCCGGATGTCACGCCTACGCCAGAGGTGGTGTAAGTCAGCGAAAGCAGCTCGAGGTTTTTGGATCCGTGCTGAGATTTCGTCGCCAATCAGTCCGTTGGTGCTGATACAACTTCCCAAATAGGTGAAGTGGTCAACATGTTCTATCACTTCACTCCCTATCACTAAGCTAGGAGTTGACGTAGTCCAGTCCTGTAGCAGCATCTTACCTTCTGCAGGGGCGAGTCGCATGCCAAACATACGAAGATTGCTGCTCAAGGTGTTCAGAAGACTCTGCTGGATTTTGTCAGCATCCTCCCCTAACAGGACTATGTCATCTGCATATTCTAAGTCCATTAAACTATTCCCTGATAACAAGTCAATTCCTAAGTCGTTACGTTCAGTTAAGGATACTTCCATTAGCATATTTATGATGAAGTTAAACAGAAATGGGGAAAGTGGACATCCCTGTCGGACACCACTGGTTGCTATCAATTCAGATGACAATTCCCCATAAGCCCTTACACGACTACGTGAGTTTGAATAGAGTGCCTTGATTAGTGCAATGTACTTTCTTGGCACTCCCTTCACAGTCAGACATTGCCATAGTAGCTTTCGATCCACGGAGTCGAAGGCCGCCTTCAAGTCAAGAAATATGGCAATTGTTGGACGCCGGAAAGTGTGTCTATGTTCTAGAATCTGTCGGAGAGTGAAGATATGATCTATGCACCCTCTACCTGGTCTAAAGCCTGCCTGGCTCTCTCGTGGCCGCGTGTGACCGGCCTCAAGCAGTTGTCCCCTGGGCTCTGCGGTCACGCAACCAACTTCCACGGTGTGGGCAGCCGGGAAGTAACAATCGCCCTCACAATCCGAAATGCACACGAATGGCTCTCTCGTGTTTGTTCCTCCCGAGCACCACTTAGTCTACTCATGATTGTTGAGCCTAGAACTTTAGATACCTACCATATTAGTCAAGCTAATCCCTCTGTGATTATCACAGGAAGACTTGTCTCCCTTCTTGTTTATGGGAATAATCAGTGACTTACACCAACCAGATGGGACTTCTTCTGATTCCCAGACGCTTCCTAGTCCGTCAAGGATGCCCATTATCTCCTTTTCTATTCAACTTCATCATAGATGTACTGATGGACTTAACCCTAACTCACTTCAGCGACTCAGGGATTGACTTGCTACCACCAGGGAATAATCCCGTTGACTTGGAATATGCAGACGATATAGTCCTTCCAGGCGAAGACGCTGACGAAATGCAGAGTCTTCTAAACACCTTGAGCCGCAATCTACGAATGTTTGGCATGCGATTCGCTCCCGCCAAATGCAAGATGATGTTACAGGACTGGACCACATCGACGCCTAGTTTAAAAATAGGAAGTGAAGTGGTAGAGCACGTTGACCGCTCCACTTATTTGGGAAGTACCATCAGCCCCAACGGGCTGATCTCTGACGAAATCTCAGCTGAGTACGAATACAGAGGGCTCGTTTCGCATTTGTTAGTTTACGCCGACTCTGGCGTAGACGAGATGTTCGACTATCGACCAAAGGGCGGGTGTACTGCTCATCAGTCCGCTCCGTCCTCCTTTATGGCCAGCTGTGAGACCTGGCCAATGAGAGTGGAAGAAATGAAAAGACTAGCTGTCTTTGATCATAGGTGCCTGCGTTCTATTTCCCGTGTAAAGTGGCATAATAAGGTGAGCAACATGGAGGTTAGGCGCAGAGTTCTAGGTAAACAGGGGAAATCAATCGACGAAGCCGTGAAGCTACAAAGACTGAGATGGTTAGGACATGTGTTACGTATGCCAAGCCATCGCCTCCCTCGACGAGCTATGTTAGCGGATATAGGGTCAGACTGGAAAAAAGCTAGCGGCGGTCAAACAAAAACTTGGCTTCACCAGTCAATGAAATCCACAACAGTTGGTCTAAGCCACGTAGAAAGGTGTAGACTTCCAGGCTGGGGTCCTCGGGACGGTAAAAATCTATGGTTGGAAACAATTGGTGACATGGCTCAAAACCGTTCTCAGTGGCGCAGATGCATCCACTCCCTATGACTTATGATCTTCAATGAAACTGTTTTGTATTTCTTTATTACTCCTTTGTCTCACACCTCTGCTCACTGTGTCTATTATGCTTTTCTTGTACTTTCTTCTCTTGCTTCGCGTGCAACACGGAATGTGGCGACTTGAACTTCCGCACATTTGTGCAAAGTTCTATGTCGAAAACAGACAGACAGACAGGCTTCCTAGTACCCGAGTTAATGCAGACAGTAAACTGTCTCCACTGTACTTAAATACCTCTGGAGTCATTCCATCAGGTCCCGCTGGTTTGCCTTGTTTCAGATTAGTGGCAGCTTTAGTAACCTCAGTTAGGGACGGAGGACCTGTGTCTATATCCCATTCAGGGAGGTGTTGGATGTTCGTCAGGTTGAGCGTGGCTGTGGGCCAATTAAACTGCTCCTCAAAGTGCTCCTTCCAGCGTTCCAGTCGTCTATCCTGGGAGCTAATTATGGTGCCATTCTTCTCCGAGATTGTTTCACTTATGATTTGCCTTCTCCCACCCATTTCCCTGATGAGTCTAAAGAGTTGCCTAGTGGTGCCTATCGCTCATGCTTTTTCCATCTCTTTCGCCTTTGTCAGCCACCACTGTTCACGGTCCTTGCGGAGACTTTTCGTAAGTTTCCTTTTGTGCAGCTTTCGCTCCTCATTGAATTCGGAGCTCGCCGGAATAAGTCTTCTAGCATCTATCAGTTCGGATGAGGCGGTGGAGATCCAGTGGTTTTTACTCACCTTTGGATTTACCTTATTCACAGCTTTTACAGCTGTATCTATGGCTGTGCGTCGGTGGCACAGTGGTTAGGACTCTCGCCGAACATGCAAATGGTCCGGGGTTCGAGCCCACGCCGGCGCACACCTGATATCTATGGTCGGCCTGCGAAATTTGGGCTACCGATATCCACGCTGAAAATTCCATACTTGTACCAAAAATACAGTGTGGAATCAAGCTGTAATCAAAAATTAAAAAAAAATTTAAATTAAATTAAATTCTTCCAGGCTTCTTCAGGGTGAGCACAGCTATCGAATTCAGATATCTGTTTAGCTAGTTCTTCCTCGAATAGGTATTTAGTTTCCTGATCGAGCTGGGGACGTGATGGGTTTACCACCAGCTGTTTCCTACGTCCGTTTAGTCGTAGGCACACACGAGCGCGGACCAGTGCGTGATCGGTATCTGCACACGTGTTCAAGAAGGAGCGACAATCTCCTACCGACCCACGCCAACAATAGCTTAGTGCTATGTGGTCTGTTTGTGTCCAGCGTTGGTTTGATGAAGGGGGTCTCCAAGTCAAACAGTGTCTTTCCTTGTGTTTAAAGTTAGTGCTTACAAGAAACAAATGATTATCAGAGCAGAACTGTAGGAGGCGGTCACCGTTGTCGGTTCGCTGGCACGGAGCTCCATAGGTGCCACCGACATCCTTCTCAGATTGACACAATTTCCCTACTTGAGCATTAAAGTCACCAGCTAGAACGACTATGTCTGAGCGTTTAGCCTTTCCCACCAAACTAGACAGCTTTTGGTAGAACTCATCCTTCGTTTCATCCGAACTGCAGTCAGTGGGGGCGTAGGCGGAGATTACGAAAAGGCATCAGCGAGTAGTGCAGTCCTTTCTCCTTTTTACTGATCAGTTCAGACGGACAGCACACATTCGGCTATCTACCGGGATCCAGTCAAGTAATGTCTTTTCTGCCCTAGTACTCAAAGCTATCCCTACACCAACTAATCCTCGTGAACTAGCTGTGGCATCTCCTGACACCCTCAAGGTGAATTTTGCAGATTCAACCTGTTGGCCAGGTGGGGTTAGGTGAATAACCACACTTGGGTCTTGTATGCGTGTTTCTGAAAGACAACATACATCAATGGCTCGGGATGCCAGAGTCTTGGCTAGTGATGCTTGTTGTCCTATTTGGCAAAGTGTCCTAACAATAAATGCTCCTATATGAAATTGGTGACGTGGCTTTAGGAGACTATCGGTGGTTGTTTTTTGGCTTCCGTCGTTTTTAGTAGACACAGAGTGGAGAGGAAGTGAAGAGCCATCAAGTAGAAGGAAGGCAAGATAACAGAGATGAAGATGAAGACAAAAGTGAGTGAGGATTAGAGAGGTTTCGTGTGCATTTCGGATTGTGGGGACGACTGTTACTTCCCGGCTGGCCACACCGTGAAAGTGGGTTGCGTGATCGCAGAGCCCAGGGGACAACTGCTTGAGGCCGGTCACACGCGGCCTGTTTTTGTTCGTTCTTTATTGTTTTGTGTGTCTCAGTAGCATATTTATCACTCCTGCCCTGTGACACGACAGCAGGAAGCGCGGTCGTTGTTAATCCGAGCCCCGGCCGATCTGGGATGATATTTTGTGAGTTGGATTGGGTAGCTGCTTTTTGTCTAACCGCTATCCAAACAACCTTTCTGGCATGGTAGGACCTCAAGAGACATAAGTCTCAGCTAGTATAGCCTGATTAGGTCATTGCAGTGTTCAAGCCCGACCACCACTTCAAGGTAGCAGCTTTCGGTCTGGGAGTCTCAATGTTCTTCCATTTAGGTTTCTTCAGTAATGCCTTCAGGTATCTCCGACTTTGTTCTGGTCGAATCTGTAGGGGAGGTATCCCTTGTAGTTTCGTCCTTCAGTTTCTGAATGTTGAACTTGAATTGTAGTCTACCTGCAGTTGTTCTGAAGTACTTCAACTTGAGCTTGAAGGTTCCTTGAAATAGATGATGGTCTGAGTCCACATCTGTTCTGTCCCCTTCTCGTCTTTGTACACAGTTGGCTGAATCCCCACTTCCCCTAGCACCATTGTGATGAAATCTATTTGGTTTGTGATGTGTCCGTCAGGCGAAATCCCTGTCGCCTTGTGTATATCCTTGTGTTTGTACACACTGCCTCTGAACATCAAATCATTTAAGTTTCAGAAGTCTGTTAATAGTTCTGCATTGTCACTCATTTCGCCTGGGGAGATCCTGTCGACCCCTGATGAGTTCTGGTGCCGTATTGTCTGCTCCCAGTTTGGCTTGTATTCATATCTCTCATAAGGATTTTAATGTCACGATTTAGGATGTTGTCCATTACTGTTTGCAGTTGTCTATAGACGCCTTCCTTCTTCTCTTGTTCCGATTTGTTTGTATCACTGTGAATAACATTGAATGTTGTAACCTTCCATCCTTCGTTTTGAGTTGAATTTTGATGTCACTTTCCTGCAAGGGGAGATCGGTCCCCACTCCATAGGCTCTTACCTGGCTGACGACTGCATGAGTTCGAGTAGAGTGCCTTGACCATTGCGGTGTATTTTCTCAGTATTTCTTTCACAGTCAAACATTGGCATGATACCTCTTGGTCAACGGAGTCGAATGGTGATTTCAGGTCAAGAAATATGCCGATTGTTGGATGCTGGTAAGCATGCCTATGTTCTGTTCCAGAGTCTGTCGGGGGGTGAAGCTATGATCAATACACCCTCTTCCTGGTCTAAAGCCATCCCGTTTCTCTCGTGTTTGTGCCTCGCGAGCACCGCTTAGTAGTGTACGCTTTATTTTTTTAATAATAATAATTGCTTTATTCCAAAAACAGTACTCATGATACAGCAAGGAATTTTCAGCATTCAGTACAATATTGCATCTAACTTACTCAAAAACGACAAAAAAAATTAAAAATACACAATACATAATAGTAATGAAACGATTGTTGTAGCAGCTACGTAGCAAAATACTGTGTGCCATACGGAGAAAAATATGTATAAAGTACAAAATTGTAGTAATAATAGTAATATTGAGCCTAGACCTTTAGATACCAGCATATTAGTCAAGCTAATTCCCCTGTGATTATCACAGGAAGACTTGTCTCCTTCTTGTATATCTGGATAATAAATGACTTATACCAGCCTGACTGGACTCTGCCAAATAATATGTTTAGAAAGCAGAAGGATTGAGCGAAGAAATAATTACTATTCAATTAGATACTCATGTCTGGCTGTACTCTAATATGCACGTATAGCATCTTTATTACAATACACAACAACTTACCAATCAAGTGGCACTGATATGTTTGTTTACAATCATTAGGCAGTATCAACATGCCAATGGGGTGATAATTAACGAAGTGAATAAATGCATAGAGTTCCAATGTAGAAATGCCTGCAACACATATATTACGTAATGAATAATTTTCGCAAACTCAACAATAAGTAAGAAACAAGCGTGTGCACAGGTTGATTACATAAGAGGTTCTTGAAAAATACCAACGGATTTAGACAATCATAACTTATAGCTAATGATGAAGTGGACATAGAAACCAAATTAATTTTAAAAAATAACATGTACTTAAAGACGAAGCACTTCCAAAAATAATAAAATAATTAATTCTCCAAATTATTATATTTCCACGGGAATTCAGTTGCGAAATGTATGTGTTTGTGTTTTCTTTGATTGCGATTCGTTTTTCTCCTTATAGGTGAGTTCGTCAAGTGGTACAGGGAACAGAAAGCGAAGGCCAAAGCCGAAAGTTTTTGGCGACGACTGGATTACACCGGATAATTACCGAAAAAGAAGCAAGTCAGAGTCAGGTGAAGTGAGAGATAATGTGAAGAGTGAAGACGCAAACAGACTCCACATTGAAATTGTAAGTTCTGGTTTGTTTCCCCCTGTTTTACGCAACCAACCGGTGAGTAGGGTGAAATCAGATTGAAGATAGATAATATTTTTGTTTTATCGAATGAATGTGTTCTGAAGATTCATTCGCAGGTAGGATAATGTTATAATCCTACAGAGGATGGATGAGGTTAATTACAGAGTAGTGAGTGTATATAGAGGGGAAGATTATCCAGACTTAAAATTAAGTATGTAATTTGGTGGATGGTGACTAGGATTTTGTCCGGTTCGAGAATCGCCAACCGGATGTACCTGCTTCCACCCACCCAGGAACCAACAAAGAAGTCACCATTTCAGTTGAAGTTTGGTAGGAATCAAAGACTTCCAATACACAGTACGACTTGTTCCGTTTACCAGGAGTGGAATATGACGAGGTGGTTGCGAAGGGAACGGAAAGGAGCCGTCAGGAATGTAAAGCGTAAACAGAAGATAGACGCCTTGATATCTGAACAGGGAGGAAAGATAGGGTGTATAAGCCTGTAGGTCGGCGATGAAGTAAAGTGTAGAGGAAGAAAGTATACAGTTGGATGCAGACCATGTTTGTGGAAACTCCTACCGAAGTGGAAAGGGCCACTGTCACACTGTCACGGAGAGCCGTGGTCCCGCTTATACCAACGAGAGATGAAATAAGCGGATATGATTCTAACTTGCCTCTACTGACTGGCTATTGTATGCTTAAATTAATGGATTTATAATTGTAGAGTCTAAAGAATTTATTGAAAACACTTGTTCTCTAAATTCCTGCTCAAAGTGTTCTTTCCAACATCCGAGTCGTCTGTCTTTGGAGGTAATTATGGTGTCATTTTCCTCAGAGATTGTTCCACGTATGATTCGCCTTTTGCCACCTGCTTCTCTGATAAGTCTAAATAGTTGTCTTGTGTTACCAATCGTCGAAGTCTTTTCCATCTCTTTGGCTTTTGTTGTTGATGAGGTCGATGAGATGAGGTTGATATACTATTATGTTTGGTCATTAGAAGAATAAACGTTGGCGTCGTCAATTTCTTGATTTATTGTGTTTTTTTCTTCTCTCAGTTTGTTGAGTATTTTGATTTGTTGGGTTTTTGATTTTTTTTCAATGCCTATTCTCTTGATTTTTTCGATGTCTCCACAACAATTAGATAGTCTTCGTCATTGATCAAACCACATTTGTGTTTGTGTCTGAGTTTTTCAATTTCATTTCGTATATTATTTGTTTTTGTTTTCACACCTGTTATTTTCCATTATCACGATTATTATTATTATCGTTGCTAGTCCTGATTACTGACTGGATATTCTCTCGGTGTATGTAATCCACTAGGCACTAATAATGTTAAATGCAAATTCAAATGTTTAACACACTTGGATGCAAACCGGGATATATGTCATTGAAATCGTCAAACAAAGATGTATAAATTACCGAAAGGGAATTGTGTGCTGTAAATCTGCTTGATACTGCAACACGTCTTTGCAGTCAATTTTGTCGTCAGTGAATTATGTCTTACGTACTGCTTGGCCTCCCATATAGTATAGAGAGCAAAATACTGTATGATTAAACCCGGCTTTTCCTTTTTTCTAGTAACTTAGCGAAAAGAAGAGGTTTACGGGCTACTTGGTATTAAAAGACAAATCCAACTACTACCGACTGACTGTACAAACCGTCCCTGAAATGATAGCGATGGGTGTGTCAGGTCATAGTTTGTCTTCGGAGTGTCACGGATGTGTGAAAATACTAGCCATCAGGGAAGGCAACGTGAGCTTTAACAGCGCATAGGCTGCTGTCTAGTTGGAAGTTGCACCACGGAAAGTGTTAGGAGGAGGAGGAGTAATGGCGCCTTGCATTTAAAGGTGATAGAACATACATACATACCTAAATGGCTTGAAAAAGAGTTGGAGTGTACGTCACTGATAACCAATTGAAATATATACATGAATATGCTTATTTAAGTTGACATCATTCATTTTTTTTTTAAATTTTAGATGGGCTGTCATCATCGACACCATTGGAAGGTGGTTTGTTGGATTCAATATGTCGTATCTTGAGTATTCCAACTCCAAGATCATCAGTGTTTAAAGGATGGACTATTATTCTTACTGGTGGTGCTAGAAGTGAGTTTTTAGGGTCGTCTCTACCAATCGACTCGTTGATGTTTACTTTGCATTAATGGTCATTTTTTGCTATGGCTTAAAGTAGTAGAGACTTATAGAAGTGGTGATATTTTCGGGTAATTATTACAGCAGTCAGCTGATTTGTTAACCACCCCTAGGTGGATCATTTGTTGTTCAGTGAGGATTTTATTGAACAACCGATTGTTACGTCATCAAGGGTAAGCGTTGTTACGTTAGGTGCCTGCGT